CTACCCGGAGCACCCGGAGTTCCCGGTATTCCTGGCACGCCGGGCATTCCTGGCATTCCAGAATAAGGATACGGCTGTTGAAACAAATGTTAGAGTAAATCTTCAGAATCTTCACGCTTGCTCAAGTAAGTACTATATTGCTGCGATCAGTTACTTTTGAGCTAGACGTTAGCAATTCGTCTATTCTTTAGCACATCAATTATTTTTATTTCTGGCGATTCATGGTGCATTCGACTGTTTGTCACGTATACTTGTATAAGATTTCAATTATTCCTGAATTACAAAGGTCCCGTATCTGCCTTGACAGATTAACTTTTCATCAAAAGTTTGATTGTGCGGATGCTCAAAAGTATAATGTACGGTTCACGTTGAGTGGGAACACAGAATTGACCAAAAAGAGAGCACATCTGAGTATATCTATAGTACTATCTCTATCGGTGTATCTCATCTAATACAAGTTCCCGTTGAAAACAGCAAGTTCTTAGAACAAAACCTCAGTTTGTAACGGAATCACTTTGATCTCACCTACCTTACATGTAGAAGTCGAATCGTTTGACTGCAGTTCCTTCGAGTGCGTTCGTGTGAAGATCAAAAGAAAAACGGCGAGAAAGGAGACAGAGAAGATGTCTCGCATTTCTGTTTGCTCAGTATTCCAGCGTTTCAAACTCACTTGCCTCCAAAGTTATCAAAATCGACTGGAAGAGGAAAGAGAATTCCCTGTTTACATATGTTTCCCTTCAGCTCGTCTCAATCTGTCACAAATTAAGCGATGGGATTGGTTACTCTTGGCTAGACGTGTCACAACAGATGCAGTGGTTTCAGCACAGAATCAGCGTGGTACAAGAGCTCCGTTGAAACACGCTTCCTCTTAACACGTGTTCGGTTCTCATAACGATCGGTTACTTTGTGCTAAATTTGGCAGATTACATGCGGTACATTCAGTTACAGAACCATGCATGATCAGGATGAAATTAGCTAATAGCTGAACCGTACTTGAATTCAAACGTTTTGTCTTAGTTTACTGTCAAAAACATGACGGCTGGTACGTTAGGATTGAACTTCACAGATCACATGCATATACCTGCCAGCTCTTGCATCTAAAACTCTCAACCCTTAGCGTCTAAAACTTTGATCTTGCGCCAACTCACGCCTAGGCACCAATTACTCTCGTCTAGATAAAAATTTGAGCTGTTACAGCCTTTGATGACATACTTTCGAAAAAAAAATGTAAACTAGACCCAAATTTTCCATTGAACTACTGGCGACAACATCATTTTGACGAAATTCATCCTATTTAACTTTGCCCGGGAAACATTCCGAACGTCGTCGAGAAGCTTCGGAAGTCATCGTACGGTCGGGTCGTCTCTGAAATTACCAGTACTTCTAGGGTAAATGTTTTGGACTCGTAAAACGTTTTTTGGGGCTTTGATTCAGAGTACTTCCAACACAGACTTAATGTGATTTAAGAGCTTACATGTAGCTCACTTGACCGCGCCAGATTGTGTTCTTGACCCTAATAGTTTAACTGTTTGCAATTTGTTTATTCTTTCATTATATCATGTATTTTAATTTCCGGTGATTTATGATGGCTTATTTCGAGTTTTTGTCAGAGCTGACAACTTGACTACTTGCACAAGCTTTCAATTAATCTTGAATGGCAACGGCCCCGTACATGCCCTGACAGAATTTTTTTCCATAAGTTTAAATTCAAGTAGCGGCTTAAAAGTATAACTATGAATTACGGATGTCCGTGGTTAAGTCAATTCTCTTCCTAGGTATTTAGCGTGGTATACGAGTTCAGCAGATCTGAACACGTTTCCTCTTAACACGTGTTCTGTTTTCAGATCGATTGGTTCTTTTGGTCTAAATTTGACAGATCACTTGCGGTAGTTTCAGTAACAGAACCACGCACGATGAGCGTGATGTTAGCTAATTGATGAAACACTTGTCAATTCAAACGTTTTTTTTTAAGTATACTGTAAAACACATGACGGCTGGTTTCTTTGGATTGAACTTCACAGATCACATGCATATACCTGCCAGCTCTCGCGTCTAAAACGTGACTCCCACGCCTTAACGTGGGAGTCACGTTAGCGTCGAAAACTTCGATCTTGCGCTCACTCACGCCCATGGCTAAGGACCAATCTCATTCTCGTCTAAATGAAAATTTGAGCTTTTACACCCTTTAATGGCACACTTTCGAAAAAGAAGTAAACTAGACCGAGCAAGAAACGCTTACTTCATAAAACGGGCGTTGGTACCTTCGATTTCTAAACTTTGTTTTCACTTAATTACTGGCGACATGTCATGTCATGTGTATCAAAGGCACCCGTCGACCAATACTCGACCGATACTGTCGGCGGAGTATCTACCGACACACGGTCGAACGTCATTCGATATTTCGATCGATATTTCGGTGAAAATGTAGATCGACACGTCGGCAGAGACATCGACATGTCAATGTATCGACCGACATATTGGCCGTCTCGACCTCGAGTCGGCCGATATTCGGTACCATGTCGGCCGACAGTATCGGTCGAGTATCGGTCGACGCGTGCCTTTGATACACATGATCCAAATTTTGCAGCCTTTAATGACACACTTTCGAAAAAATTAGGAAGCTAGACCCAATGTAAGAAACGTTAAGTCCATGTAAATGCAGTTACTATCCATAATTCTTCATTTTCTCCAGGAATTAGTGGCGACGATATTATTTAGACGAGACACATCCTATCGGACTGTGCCCGGGAAACATTTCGAACGTCGTCGGGAACCTTCGGACGTCATCGGATGAGATCGGGTCGTATAAAAGTCAAAACACCTTGGACTCGGAAAAAGTTGGTAAGTGCTTTCAGGTTGCAGAACGTTCAACACAGACTTAACATGAGATGAGAGCTTAACTTACGTGACGCCGGATTGGGTTCTTAACCCTCCTTCTTTCTCCTCATAGGTTTGAAAGCTATATCTGGAATGTTTCTCTCCCTCACATCCTCACAGTCTACCTTTGCTCCTTTATATGAAAGGGCGTATGACAAACTTGTACTCAGGGTCCTCTCTTTCTACTCTGGGAACGAGGCTGGGTTTATGTAAAATACATACGCTTTCTCAAGCTTATTGACGCTTCATACTTACTGCTTCTCAGTTTTATTATTCTCCAAGACTTCATAGCTTCACCAAAATCAAAGTCTATTTTGCGTGTTCAAGAACCTCCGCTGTGTCTCGTCCATAAAAGCGCCAAAAACAAAGGAATTTGGCCAACAGCCAGCCATCTTGGTCTCCAGCTTGCCCAATACCCCATGTGGCGCTGTTCATTGATGTACAAGGTGCTGCTGTTTGCCGATCAAGCCTTAGTGTATGACAATTCAAATGAAAGCTATTGAGCAGTACTTTCATGTGCTACTGTTTGTTATGTTGTACAAGGTGGTTCTAATTTTTAAGTCTGTGGATGAGGCCCTAGTGTCTGACCATTCAAATGAAAGCTATTGAGCAGTACTTTCATGTGGTACTGTTTATTATGTTGTACAAGGTGGTTCTAATTTTTAAGTGTGTGGATGAAGCCTTAGTGTGTGACCATTCAAATGAAAGCTATTGAGCAGTTCTTCCATGAGGTACTGTTTATTATGCTTTACAAGACAGTTCTAATTTTCACGTTTGCAGATGAAATCTCGGAAATTTCATGTTTTTTTTTTTTTTTT